AATGATTGAGATTTCAATCGATTGAGCAGATTATAAGCGATTGCCTGATTTAAATCCGATTTTAGTTGAGTTAATCAAAAATAATTGATTGGGTTGATTGTTTTAAGAATCGATTTCAGCATTTTAATCAACTTTAATCGGATTATTCTTGAAATGGTAGAAGTTTTGTTCGAAAAATCCGATTTTTTCGTCGGTAATCAAAAATAATCCGGATTTTCTTCGGAATATTTTTCACTGGGTATACCTTAGAACGTGACTTCAATGTTTTGTGGATAAAATTACGGGTTTTATTGATTTTTTGCTCATACATATTCAAAAACAAGTGACTAGAAGGATTTTATAGAAATAGATTTTTACTCAGTGTTTCATAATAAAGATAAAGCCTGATTTCAATAATTATAAATTTTCTTAAGTTGTCGATTGTTATATTGAATAATAAGAAGATACCAATTTTATATGTTTCTATTTTTGAAATTCTAATAAAGAGATTGATTACAATGGGAAGATATTTATATGATTATTTCAAATGTCGCCTCATCGACATTTGACAAAACTCATTGCGTTATCATAAAGTATTCTTATAAATTTAAATAAATCTAGTTGATCATCAAATTGATTATGCGGAAAAAAAACTTCGTTATTTATTATTATAAAAAAAATCATTGAAGTCTTTATATCAAAAAACATTTGCCAAAAGTTCATTGTATCGTACCGGTATTCTTTGATTTATTAATCAACTCATTCGAGAATTGTTATTGATATAACTATATTGAGCAATACATGCTAAATACAAAAGTCTCTTATCCTTTTGATAAAAAAAAAACAAAAAACTTTCATAAATATAAAATATTTGTCAGAATTGACTTTAATATTTTAAAATCGACTCTGACAAATTTCTATAGAAACTCATAGACAAATAGCAAACATTAGGCAAACAAAGAAATCGACAAATTAAAAAGTTATTCAAATTTCCGAAATACTATTGTCCAATGCCATTACCAATATATTTTGTTGAATTATTGAAAAAATCTCAGCAGCGTACCCCAGATTGACATTAGTTTGTCACGAAAGCAAATAATAGCGACGATTATACCAATGAGCAATGGTAATCCAAGACCAAGTGAAAGACCAAGAATAAGACCTAAATTCGGCTTTTCTGAAAAAGAAATTTTATCAAGTTTAATTAAAATATCAGTTAATTGATAAACTAACCTGAAGGAGGTATAGGTTCGGTTGTGTTTTGGAGAGACATTGATGTTACATTCGTTTCGGTTGGTATTTCGGAGCTCACTGTGCTACCTAAAAATAAAACAAATAATTACTATATAATGAATTACATTTTAGATAATATTTTATCACTCGTAGTCGAATCCGACGTGGTTGTACCAGTTTTAGTTACACTCGTTGTAGTAGTTACAGTTGAAGTGGATGTTGTAGTAACAGTTACAGTTGAAATGGATGTTGTAGTAACAGTTACAGTTGAAATGGATGTTGTAGTAACAGTTACAGTTGAAGTGGATGTTGTAGTAACGATTACAGTTGAAGCGGATGTTGCAGTAATAGGTTCAGTCCAATCAGATGCATTCCTATCATTTGAACTTGAATCAATTTCATTTGAATAAGTTATATTTGTCTCAAAAATATCCGTAGAAATTGTTGATGAATTAAATGTATTCGGACCCATTGAAGAAAAATCATGTTGACAATTGCAGAAGATTAAACTGAGAAGCAAACCTACAAAGAAAAAACAATGAATTTGTCTATGATTGCATTATCTCATACCAATAATTGGACAAAATATATGCATTATTGGGTTGAATTCTTTTGGTTGTTGAATAAAGAATATGAATAAGATCAAACTTTTTATATATTTATAAGTAAAGAAAGGTTCTATTTTTTTCTCATCAATCATAGATGAATAGTACGTCAGCAATGATTTTTTTCCACGATATTTCAATAAATGTTGAAGTTATAATAAAAGAAAAAATTTCATGACATATTTTATGTCCTATCATCATATATGATCATTGACTAGTAAAACATGTTGATTCAATGATAATTACTAATAATAATACGTCACCAGTTTAAAATTTTTTTTTCTGCGTTCATACTGCGCATGTCACAACTTTCCTGGAATATTAATATTTTTGATAAGATATCATATAAAAATAGCACAACTCGATTGTTGAGAAAATATTTGAGTGTTGAAGTTGATAAATTTATCAAAATGCAAGACTTTTTCATAGAGTTGAATATAAATTGTAAGATCGACATTGTTTTTTCTCTCTGTAGAGGAAAAATCTTATTTTTTAAGAAAACAGAACGACAAAAAAAGAAAAGATCAATATCAAATAATTCTAGGCACCTATTGATCAAACCTACCCGTACCTACAATAGATATACTGTGACAAAAATGTTTCTTCGATACAATTGTTAATCTATACCAGCTGAACAATATATTTGTCTCTCTCTCTCTTGATATCCATTGTTTCACGAATTTTCAATTCGTTCAAATTCTTATTTTTCTTGCATTGATAAATTGTTTGTGGACAGTTGTTCAAAGAAAAAGAGTCTTTTAATTTCATATTGCTTCCCAATATATAATATTCTCACATAATAGCGTATTTATTCTTAGAAATTTATCCAAGAAACATATTAGATACAAGAGATCCACGAAGCAGCAGACAAACAGTTTCGTCACTGCTTCACTCAGTTTTTTCTTAAAATGCTCGCCTCGCTAAGGACTAGTGTCCTGCAATCAGGTTGGGTACCCAGCAATACATGAGATCTCGATGTTTCAAAATATTTTTTAATTTTTCAAACTGCTATATATATATATATATAAGAGTAGGAATGAAAACCGATTCGATTATGATTGAGCAATTTTATAGACGTGAGAATAGGTCACAGCAATGGAAAACGATATTGTTTTACTAAAAGAATTTGCTTTTAATGAATACTCATCTACAGATGATGAGGGATCATATGACAAAATAATTGAATACATGCAGAGGAAAATAAATTATGAAAAATGTCAACATGTATTATCATGATGGAGGAAGCATGCATTCATGTATGTATTCACAATTATGATGTTTGGCATCAACATTGAATCCCATTACAGCGTTATCAGCAATAAGCAAACGTATACTTAACGAAATCGGTCAGATTTTAGCAGCAGAAAGACACCAAATGAATCCTGAATCACTTATTTTTCAGTGGATTTTGACATGATCTCTTCTTTTTGTTGCTGTTGATGGAAAAAACTCAACAGTATACTTCAATTTCTCAATAAAGTACAGTATAAGTAAGTTAGATAAAATAAATAAATGGTCAATTAAAAAAAACATATTATACAAAATCAAAATGATTATATCGATGACTTAGGTTTACTAAGCAGTGCCAGCAATAATAAAGAGAATGAACATCGTATAGTTAAGTGAAGCCGCGATTATGAAATACCAAAATCGAGCGATATATTTGGCAAAATCATCAAAAATATAACTATCCACAGCATTGCATTTAGTATTACAAATCAATGCAAGACCCATAAAGCTAGTTACAAACATAAAATAAATGAAAACTCCATGATATAGCAGTGTGAAAGATTGGAATATACGGTTTCCTAAAAACTTTCAAAGATACTCTACCATAGATACTGCTTATCGACAATACTGTCATCTTATTGCTTTATGGTTTAATGTGAGGCTTTACAAGCAAAGAAAAATACTTCAATATCTGCTTGACTAATAAATCCATCGGACATATATAGAATATTTGCTCTTCAGATACGTGTATAGATAACAATTTTGAGTGAAGATATGGAGAATGTGTGTTTCAATGACTTGACAAGTGAGATACGCATCGAACGAAAAATGTTTTTATTGTGATCGAATTTCGATCTGCCCGATGGAACAACCTAGTACCGATCCATCAATCTATCGAAAAATGGCACTCAAGAACAGTCGATCTGGAGTTCTGATGCTTATCGGCAGCTCACCTTGATGCGCCAAAACTTCCATCGAATTGCAGGTTGGGTACAGTAGCAAATATAACGAGGAGATAGGTGCTGAGGACAATCGCTCCCCTTTCAAACGATTTTTATTGACTTTTTCTTAGCAGAGCGGGCTTCAAAATCAGCTGTTACTACCTCTAATGAGCTTCAAAATACGTTTTATGATCATGATCGTCACCTATCATAAAAACCTTAGACCCACCACTGGTTGAGCAGATTCTATTTTACTTCTAAGAATCTATTAATGTTTTAAGAATTTCACCGTTTACATTTCAAACATTGAAACGAAAAAATCTCGAGATTGTTTTATTTCGTCATCTGTTAATTGTTTTATAATACTTTAAGAAACATTAATGTTTCATTTTTATTCATTACATTAATAGTGTTCATGAAGGATACTCAGTGAATCCGTATCTTCATTTCAGCGTAAGTGGATTGATCTATTTAACATTCCAATTGAACTAATGCTTACTCAACTTATTGTAAAATCAAAATTACTCTGTGCTGTTCAAATGTATACGTTTATTCCCTTCCTGTAATATTTCTATATTTGATAATTCGACTAATTCTTAGTGTTCGCTTTTCAATGAAATACTGTTACCTGCTAATTTGGTTACTTCCACGAATTCTATTGTTTTCGATTTTCGACGCAATTTTACGAATAAAGGTATAGGAAATATATCAAAATATTTATTACAAATGTGATAAAATTCTTTAACCATTGTTTTCAATGACCACCGTACAATCAATAGCGGAAAGTACATCGCGGGAAATGACAAGTACATAACAAATTATGAAATCAACAGTACTTATAAAAGAACCTTATTTCAGTAAGTCACGAATAACATTTTTTTGTTTTTTTATTGAATATTTTATTAAATTTTTCTCTTACAGTTGCGAACACTTATGGAAGTGTAAATGATAATGATGTGAATGATAATCGCAATAATTATCTCATTTTTAACGGAAATCAACCTGTAAGTCTTATTGGTTTTGTCATCAAATGTTTCAATCATATTTTGCACTCTACCAATATCGATCTCACTCGTTCTATGGATATATGTTGTTTCATATACGGATACCGGATCCTACTACATTCTACGTTCCATGTATGTTGTACTGATTGATCAAATCAGTACAAATAATACGATTCAACAATATACATTACCTTCTTTTCAATTGAATGTGAGTGTTGCTGAATATGTCGGTGTTGGTTTTGGTAAAACAACAGTTAGTAGTCCATGTCAACTGGTATCCGGCAATAGTGCTTATACAAACATATATGGTGGTACCAACCAAACATATTTAGTGGGTATTCAGGAATCATTATCATTCACTTCGTAAAGGCATGGAGTTTTCATAAGATTTACTATTCTAACACCTATGTAACATTAAACATATTTAAGCCTTTCAATGCGAGAAGATATGTAATAATTGAAGACACGAACAGATTGAATATATTCTAGATTCATATATCTCTAATGACATTCCCCTAAATTTAACTCACTAGCATGAATTTATTCTTTTCCCATTAGATGCATTCTAAACATAGCAAGATCGATTTATTTCAATTATCACTGTTCTAAAATCTTGACAACTAATTAACAACATTAGATGGCTCAGTGGTTAGAGTTATGACTTCCTAATTCGTGCATCTAAGATTTGAGTCCTTTTTTGTTTGTTTTTGTTACTCAGGACTTTCTTTTGCTTAATATGTCATAAAAAGATCCCTATTATAATTACAGTATAACTATATCCTACTAGATCTATTCCAAATCTATTATCCTTTCAACAAGTTTATTATACAAAACATCGACGCCCTCAAGTCCTAAAAAATCCTGTAACAGTAACAATTACTAGAGTTTATTTTAAAATTCCCAATAGATCTCGCAAAAAATCAGTTCTGGAAGCTACTGGAAACTTGTAGTTATTTCACTTCTCTCTTATTGTGTATAATGATTCAGATATTTGGCAATTATTTTAATATCTATATTGAAAACCATAAAAGTAGAGAAGTATTGACGTCTAAAGTGTATTAAATGGTAAGGTGATGTACCCAAGAAAATAATATCACAATACAACATACCTTCTGAATCTTATTAAACAGTATGTCCAATCTTTGCTTGTTGACTTTTAAAAAATAAAAATGACGTTGTTAAGTAACAAAAATGTTTCCCAGTGAAATTCAAGTTAAACGTTAAAACGTGAAGAACATGCATTTGCATGTAATTATCAGAAAGTCGTATTCACTTGCAAGATATTTTAAATATTCGTAATAGCTGCATATAAATGCCGGACAACAAAAAGTACACAAAGATGCAAGTCGCAAACACACAAGAAAAACATAATTTTTTACATTTTAAATTGAAGTATCTAGGATCATGTGTATTTACAAAAAAAAAAAACATGTGGCTCACATGTGAATTACTAAAGTATTTGCTGCCTATATTTGAAAAATGATCACAGTTTTGCTGAGTTCATTACGTCAATACAAAAGAAAGTTTTTACTAAAATAGATGTTAGTTGACATACAAATCTGAGCTACATTTTAGAGTGCGTGCTGTCCAAAGGAGAAAAATCGAAAATTGTGTCATGAACATATTAAGTAGTTTGAGTTCATTTTATACAAGTCTATCTAACAATAAAGCTCAAATACTTCACTGTCTTGGAATACGATGAAGTAAAGAGATTTTTGTTTTTTTCCACCTTGATACTGTCATATGCAAAACTTTATTTTTCTCTTCTACATGTGATTTATTTACTTCACGTGAAAATCAAATAGTTATACTATTCTCTAGTTTTACTTGTGCTACCGAATATAATACAACAATATAATACATGTCAACGTGAACATACATCACTCTGTGATACGATCACATACATGCCACGTGACTATAAATAGTGCGTGTATATGTACTGTACGTTCTATGCGTAGTTATATATACCTTTTTTTGTCGTTCAAGTTTTTACTAACATATTGAATGATAAAGATAGATCAACATAAAAAATGTTTTCATTGTATGAAACAATATTAATATTGACAGACAGAAGTCAAAGATTATGATTTTAAACAACAATGAACTGGTTACTTTACTAAAAAATTATATGGGAGCTAAACGAAGAAGTACAAATCAACAGTTTTTCTGAATTGCTACTTCTTTGTCGTATCATTCTATGTTTCATTCCAATTATTTGACTGTAAATCATTTGTTTTTATTGCCATCAATAATAATGATTTCAACTTATCACACGTTGATATTACAAAGAAAAATGTAACAATTTGTTTTTTTTTTCTTGTTATAACGAGAATCATTATCAAAGCAAAATAACGTCACAGGTGAATGATCAGGTAGCGTGAAAATTTGTTAAAAAACGATAAAATCACCACATTTTCTACTCTTCTAAATAAAAAAAAAAGGTGTTTGGGACGGTTCATTTGCTTTGTTCTTGTTATAAAAACGAAATGGCGCAACTTCAATCATTGGCAAATGAATTACTACTTGATTTATTTGAATATTTTGATACTGCTAATCTTCTTCAAGCCTTTAATGGGTTAAATTCTCGTTTTAATGAATTACTTTACTTTCATTTTCGATTTCATCAACTTGATTTAAAGTCTGTATCGAAAGAAATTTTCGATAGTATTTCTGAGAAACTTCTTCCATTAATTATTAATCAAATTATTTCGCTTCGTCTTTCATCTGATGAAACACCTGGTTTACCTGAACTTCTTCTATCTCGTGGTTTTACTCTCAATCGATTTATTTGTTTACAATACCTTTCATTATATAATATTAATCGTCTTGATACATTATACAAAATAATAAATCAATGTCGATCTCTTTCTCATCTTACTCATCTTAATATAATTAAGCATGATGATGAAGAAAGACAAGAAAACATTGCGGACTTGCTGAATAACATTTGGAGTTTGCCAACACTTACATATTGTAATTTAAATGGTATTCAGACAGATGAAATATGGCTGTTGAGCATCTCAGTAATTTCACCGTCTATCGAATATCTTTCCATTGAGAATATTCCGTGTAATTTACACTCTTTATCTCATCTGTTCAAATTTACACCTCGTCTAGAACGACTTTGTACAACTCTGTATTCTTATTCCATAAATGATCATTTAACCAGTATTATCCCATTGATGAAATCAATAAAACTTTGTTTTGGAGGCAGATTTCAATCGATGAGTAATCTATTAGAAAATATGCCTAATCTATCTTGTTTAATAATTACAACATTACAAGTTTATTTGGATGGTAATACATGGCAAAAATATATTTCTACTTATTTACCTAAGATAAAAATATTTCAATTAAAAATGGAATTAGAATTTCGAGAGAATAATGATACCATTGAAGAAGTTATTGATAAATTACTTGTATCATTTCGAACTCCATTTTGGTTGCAAGAACATCAATGGTATGTTCGATGTCATTGGAATCCATCAGATCCATATAAATGGGTTACACTTTATACATTACCTTATCATTTTGATACATTTGATTATTCAAATAAATCATGTACTAAATCAACCTGTTATGATGAAAGTCAACATTGGTCATATGATCTTGTAGAAATTTATGGGCATGGAAGTGTTGAAAATAATTTATTAGATAGTTTTAGTCTTATACGTGCTCGTTTTCGTAATATACATCATCTACAAATAAATCTTTCAATTGATGATACATTTTGGTTACGTTTTCCATCATTAAATTGCTTAACATCACTTCATGTATATATTTATAAATATTGTGGATATTATCAATTACAAACATTATTTGATCAAGCACCTTGTCTTTATTCATTAAAACTTCAATCATTTGTTGATTCATCTATTAAATTATTTGAATTAAGAAGTAAATCTATTAGACGAATTGATTTAGTTAATGATTTATTTGATCGATCAATATATTATACAAGAGAAAATTGTTTTACATTAATAAATTCAATACTTGGAAATCAATGTGAAATTCTTTCAATTTGTATTAAATATCGAAAGAATATTCTTGATCTTATTCAACATATGTCAAATCTTCGATTATTAATTTTTCAATGTGAAGATGATAAAGAATATTTTCGAAATTTTTCATCTTCAAAAAATGAACTTGTTCAATGGTTAGAATCTTGTTTATCATCAACACACATTATTACAAGACATCCAAGACAACGATTTCTTATACGTGTTTGGATCAATCGAGAAACGAAAAATATACTTCCATTGAATAGTTATATGTTGAAAACGAAACAGAGAAATAGACTATCTCACGTTTTAACATCATTTCGACAATATTTTAATAAGATGCTGACAGATTGAATCTGAATATTTATCGAATTTGTACAAAAACTTTTCAAATTACATACATAATCCTGTATAATCAAATTTTTTGATTTTCTTTATAATGAATAATTGTCGCATAGCTTTATAGATGTCACATATAAATGCCATTTGTATTTTTATAGTAATACAACTTTATATGTCAAAAGAAAACAAACATATTTCCTTCCATTCTTCACATAAAGATACTTGAGACCATTAGTTTTGCTTCACAAACTCTCGATACGTTGATCAAAATAATATTTTAATTCGAATATATTTCATATCTTAAAATAATAAAAATGCAATGTTGAAAAAGATGAATCTATTTTTGACTTATATAACAATATTTAAAATATACTAAAACATTCTCAATGAAAATTTGAATGATATTTAATCAAAGTCAATATCATTATCTAAAATTTTTGTATTATCATCATTCACTGAACAGCATTTTATTGAAAACATTTCATGCGATTTAAACTGTTTATCTTATCTACACAAAATATTGCATCATGTTTGTAACAACACTTCACAATAATTTTACTGGTATTCTATTAATGAAAATCTAAAATGAATTCTCTTATCAAAAATGTCATTGAAAGTCATTGTGACACATGGTCAAAAAGAAATATTGAAGTATATAGAATACAAATTTGGAACTCCCCCACTCCTATAAAGGAATGTATATTGGGTAGACTAATGTATTCAAATCTTTTAAAATAATGATCGAAAAAAGCTTTGTGTTTAATAATTTCCATCTTATGTGCGATCAATATTCTAATCATTTTGATGTCAAAATTGCACTTTCATTTGATCATGAGTTTTGTTCACATAATGAACACTTGAAATCAATTAACTTCAGTTGATCTGATTTCTGTTTATTTTTATTAACGAACATAAGTCAAATCAAATATTTTTGTTTTATTTATTGAAATTTTATTATTTTAGAAAATTAACAAGAAGATTATTTTTTGGATTAACCAGTTCATCGATTAGTCTATTTGATTTGTTTATAGCAAAGGTCAGTAATGGAATTTTTTTTTTTGATGATTCATATTGAATTAAATTCTCTCTTAGGTGTTGATGTGTCATTTTTTTGATTGATATAAAGATTAATCATATGTTCCTAATATGATGGAAAGAATAATTAATCTTTGGGTTTTAATTATGCGGTGTAGCAATATATTATCGAATTATTATAAACCTGACTCCATTAATCAAGTTTTTATTCAATAGTTGCTAAAGAACTTGTATTGAACACTTTTAATTGTTAAAAACGTAGAGTAACATAAAAATTTACAGTTGAAGAGAGAGAATACCCTGCTGTTCAGCTACGTTGCTGTCCGAAAACAGTTTTGTTAAGCCAATATCTTCCCGATAACTGGTATTAGCTATAGATCTGAACACATAATCAGTCTGATTCAGAGTTCTTTCATTCAATTACTCAAGCTTCCCACACACTAGCCCCAGTCATGTACTAGTCAGAGATGAGCACAGGACAAGATTTTCTCTCCTGTCATGTCCTGTCCTGCTAGCTATCTCGGTCCTAGCGGGCGGCAGGACAGGACAAAAATCAAAATCTTGTCCTGTCCTGTTTTTGTCCTGCTAACTTTTTTGTCCTGGCAGGCGGCAGGACAAGACGTCACGATTTCTGCCGTTTTTCTACCAATTAAATCCGTTTTCACAGGTTATAAAATGCCAAGAGTGAGTTTTACTTCTACTTTCATTGCACAAAGCAAACATCACCAATTAATATTTTCTAACTAATGCATTTTATATAGTTTTCAAAAAAAAAATATTAGAGATGAGCACAGGACAAGAATTTTTTACCTGTCCTGTTCTGTCCTGCTAACTTTTCTGTCCTGGCGGGCGGCAGGACAGGACAAAAATAAAAATCTTGTCCTGTCCTACAGGACAGCACAGGACAGGGCACCAGGACAGCAGGACCGTCCTGTCCTGTACTCATCTCTGGTATTAGTCAAGAAGACCTATGTATGTTACAATGTATTCAGTATACTGTCTTACGGCTAATCTGAGGCAAACAACTGTTAATGAATTATTCAGGATCATTTCATAGTAGATGGTGTCGATGCTTAAAAGCAGTGCCGTAAAACATATATCAAATAACTTTACAATGAAGCTACAGCAGCCCATATTTACATTTGAATAAATTGACGCAGAAGAAAAAGTTACTTTCATTTAGTTATAATACGTTAACATCGAGACGAAGGACGAAATTGTCAAGGGTTTCATCATCAATTCGGAAATTTTCTGTATAAGATTTTTCTCAATCACATTCACTTATTTCTTGTGTATTATAACCTAGAATATTGAATAACAATGAACCTTACCTGAGCTCTCAATGGGTTCTGTTCAGCTGAGCCTATGAAAGTCCGTCCATAAACACGATCTGTATCAAATAAAGGGTATTTTGATATAAGAATATAAGTTGTTTTAATCAATGTCGAAAGCTGAACTTATGTAATATTATAGTTACTAGCGAGAACCCGTGCATACTGCACGGTCTTTTTTTATCAATGAAAGAAGTCTTTTCTTTTAGGGTAAGGGGTTCTTAGGGATACAATCCAAAATCTTTATTTCTGTTTTATAAAAACAGCTTATTTTATTAATTTTCATTTTATTTTAAAACAACTAATTTACAAAACTTCTTTAAAAACAATGTTTCTAGTTCTATTTTTTCCACTGTCT